GCGCAAGTAAATGTTTCACTTTTTCTACAATAAAATTTCTAAAATGGTTCGATTTTGATAATATATTACATAGTTATTAGTGGAAAAGTACTACTACATGCATATGTATATAGTACATAAATAGCCACTTTAAATTGCAATAAATGGAAAATTTATAAAAAATTATTTTATTTAATGAACAATCTAACACTCACTCCATACAAGTGTTTGTGCACATAAACACCGCAAATGACATACTCAAAGTAGTTCACTTTGAAGATTAACTAGCTGGTATATTATGTCTGTTCCATGTTACGATTGCGGTGTTGTTAACTTGCTGATGCCCTACCAAAATTCGATTGTTGTTGTGACATTATATCCCTTCAAAAGTAGTCAAAATATCGAGCCCTAACCATTGGCTATGCACTACTTAGTTAGCGAAATAGTCACCCTGTACATCAGTGTTGCATCGATTCATAGAAAATAAAATCCTAATCATTTTAAGCGCGCTTTTAGTATAACGCTAGTCATAGTCTAGCCGTTGGAAATACAGCTATGAACTATAAGATCGGTTCGGTAGTATGGTATTTTATTGCACGCTTTTTACAAAATTTGATAGGCTATCGTGTACACGCCCACTATATTTCATTCTATTATGCTCTTTAATATTATTTTTTTCTTTCCTAACCTACACTAATTAGGTACAATTAGAGCTTTCTTTTGTTGCCAAGTTATAGAAAGCAACAGATGTCGCAGCCGAGTGTGTTCGCAGGCATTTATCACTAAGTAATAAAAACTTTAAGCAAGCTCTTCAGCTACTCAAGAGTGCTACAAATCAGTAGATATAGAAACATGATTGTTTTGGTGGGAAATAATTTCAAAACTAATTAAAGGGGCAGTAAAATTGTTTTTTTTTTTAGTATGCTTAAGTATTTTTATTTATTTGCATACCAGCCACCATTCATTACTGGCGCGCTGCCTTGCAAATGCATATCTGGACTTAATTGGTCAAACGTAAAACATATCCGTTGTATGCCTTGGCCTCAAACGAATTGGCATTCACGATTTGCCTGACCGGAAGAAAAAAGAAGTAGTAATTACATAAATGTATCCTTTAATGCTCAGCTAGCTGCTCACCCATTTGGTATGTCGGAGTGCAGTGAACTGACAACAACCTCGAGCTTGGCACTTAGATCATCGAATAGAGTACCCAAATTCAAAGATACATTTTCGTCACCAATATTCAGCACCACAATGTATTTGTCACCAGTCTCAGCGGCCCTGCGAAATAACATCGAAATCGAAATGAGCAGTAGTTCATGCCGCCAAATCAGCCAATTCTTACCTAATATACACCAATACATTCTTCACGACGACTGACACATAGCTACCATCAATGAAAGCAGCCTCCGACTGCCTCAACTGCGTTAGCTGTTTGAAGATTTTCAAGTGGCTGTTCTCAGCAGCCAACTGCGCTGCCACATTATTATCTGCATACGACTGACCAATTGGCAGCCAAGTGTGATTAGCAGTACTGAAACCGGCATTCGTCGTGTTGTCCCACAGGAAGGGCGTGCGCTCACTATCGCGTGAATACTGGAGATAGGTGGTTGGGTCAGCGTTGCAGCCCTGTGGATCAACGGTATCTTCCCACGAGACATAGCCGTTTTCCATACCATATTCTTCACCCTTGAATACAATTTTATTTAATGAAAGAATGCTCAAAAATCGATGATGAACTCAAGCTTACATTGTAGGTAACTGCAATTCCCGGGAGAGTCTGCAAGAAGATGTTCATTAGGTCAGCACGTTGTGCGCCGAAACGCGAGGCCAATCTTGGGTTGTCGTGATTGCCCAACACCCAATTGGCATACACGCCTTTGGGCATGTTGCTCAACCAGTGATGTACATAATAATCGTAGTCCGAAGCACTGCTCTTATTATTCAAACCAGCCAACATCTCGAAGTTGAATGGCACATGCGAGCCGTTACGCAGTCCATCGCCATACATGTGCATTAGATTTTCGAAGCTAGTGTAGGCCTCCGTGAGCAACACTTTGGTGTCGGTGTTGTGTTCGCTCGTCCACTGATCAACGAGCTCACGCCACTGGTAGATAATCTCGATATCCTCGGGCAGCGAGTTGGTGAAGGTGTGGTTCAAATGGCACCAATCATCCGGATCGGGACAGGTGCTGATGTCAGAGCTTAATGGTTCGTCGGGATAAGTGCCAGTTTGTGGATCTATTTCGACTTCGAAGAGGAAGGGCACAGCGTCAATGCGAAAACCATCAATACCACGCGCCAGCCAGAAGCGCAATACATTATTCATTTCCTCCACAACATTCGGATTGCGGTAGTTCAGATCGGGCTGTTTAACGCCAAACTGATGAAGGTAGTATTGTTGGCGTTGCTCATTCCACTCCCAGGCGGAGTAGCGGAACTGTGAGATCCAGTTGCTGGGCGGCTGACGTTCACCGGTGGTGGAATTTATAACTCCATCGTGCCAAATGTAGAAATCGCGATAGTAAGAATCATTGGCTACTGAGCGTTGGAACCATTCGTGCTCGTCGCTGGTGTGATTGGGCACAAAGTCGAGAATGAGGTGCAAGCCAAGACTGTGTGCACGTTCGGTTAGGGCAAGCAAATCCTCGTTGGTGCCATACTCAGGCTGCACTTTGGTGTAATTCGAAATATCATAGCCGAAATCAGCCATTGGCGACTGGAATATCGGCGACAGCCAAACACCTTTCATACCGATATCCTTTACGTATTCCAACTTTTCGTTGACGCCTGTCGGGTGTGTAGCAGCGGCGTGTATTTATTAGGAATTATTTGTTAGGAGCTTCCGATGAAGAATTCGTACTTACCATTCAGATCGCCAACGCCATCACCGTCGCTATCCTTAAAGGAGCGCGGATAGATTTGATAGAAATTGCCATTTTCCCACCAGTCTTGCTCGCTGTGGCTGAGATGGCAGAGTGCCAATGCTAGGAGAAATATGCCGATAAGTTTTCCCATGTTTTAGTTAGTAGGAAGTTACTGTGTTACTGGCTACAGCTGCTGGGCGACGGTATTTTATAGCTACGAATGGCATTATACTTGTACACAGCGGACAATACCGCTATTTTTCTAAAAAAAAATTTACGTTTTGCTACCAATTTGTGTTTGAAATTTCCAGTGCTTTAATGCCTCGGGCATGACAGTTTTCACTGGCAGCTGCGCAAACTAAAACTTGGGGTATTTTTTTGTGCAAATCATTTAGGTAGATGCATGCATGTTTACATAAGTACGGTTAATCAAATAATGTTTATGACTATTAAGAAAATATGTTTATTTACATACATACCTGTGTACACATTTTTAGGTGACGTCAAGGCTTTTTTTTTTTTGTATGGCCTTGTATTTCTGAAGGAAATAAAAATTGAAAATTCTTAGGACAGAACCATGGTGACACCATGGGACAGAACGAGAATTGCGCTGTACATGGATACAGTGACATTTCACGTCATTTAATTCCAGCTGTTAGAAACGTAAACAAGCAATAGCATTTAAGATATGATACTTTATTTCATTCTTAATTTTATTTACATTTACATACACATACATATAACTATGCATATTGAAGTTGTTTTCTAGTTGCTTAGTTGCTAGTTCAGTAGTAGCGCAGAACTAGCTCATCAAGAGGCGGTATTGGTTATCGATCTATTCCATCGCAATGCTTTCAACTGTCTCTTTTTATGTGGCGATGTCCTACGAAGTGGAGAGCTGGACGCGGTGTTCTGATGTGCTCTGAGAGCACAGTAAACCTAAGGTCGCAGTGCTCATCCTCTAAAGATGCTCTCAAAGCAGTAGGAGAGTTTCTGACCTCTATTTCAGTTTAGTTTAATTATTTCCTAGACACACTTATGTGAGCACCAGCCCATTGTGATATTGCCTGAGTTTGCGTTGTGTATTATTGGTCAGTAGGGAAGGGAGTCGAGAAAAGACTTTAACTGCGTACAGCTTCCAGGTTTTACGAGGCGAAAAACTAGCCACCTTTAACTATCTTTGAGGACCTACGACAACATCTTCCGCCTTGGCACCCAGGTTTCTTCGCTTTAGCTTAGCAGTTGCTTTCATGGTGTAATCACAAAGGGTTGTTTCTTATTGTTCCAGAGTTTCCTTGTTAGCGCAATTTCTTTAACGTAGCCGAACCTAAATCGCAACAAGATCTTCTCCCCAACTCATCCCTTCCGAGAAATTTTTCCTTGGCTGACAGCAATAAAATAATAATAATATTTTGGCGCTTGCACTTTTGCTAAGTGTTTGGCCTAGCTTCTTCTCCAATTTGTGATGTGCGTTTTGATATTTTTTACACAAATGATGAGACCTATATACAGTTTTACTTTGCCTCTGAATGGTAAATGGCTTTTATGAGAAGCTTTTTCATGGCAGAAATCAGCGTTGCCATTTTAGCCGTTTTCCGGCTAGATTTAACCGGTTTTGATAGCAACTAGCAGGAGAAAATTCGATCTAGCCGGCAGCCGATTTGTTAGCCGGTTTGTA